GTCAGAAGAAGTGAGAATTATTTTCACACCCCAGGTCACCCCACTGGCAGTTTGTCAATGTACAAATGGAAAAAACAATAACCAAAAGCAAACAGAAAAGAGACAATATGAAAAAAAATTCAATTTATCTTCACCTGAAATTGTGATGCAGCTCTAGATTTGGTGATGAAGAAACTCCCTGATTCATTGTTCCAATAATATATGGACTGGGGAAAAAAAAAGAAAATTTATATGTACTAAAGGTAAAAGAGATTAATACATTAAAATTGTCTCCGAAAACAATTTAGATAAATGTGGATTTTTGTATTTTAACATTAGGCTGTAAAAGGGTAATTTTGTAGTGTTTGTTTGGAAAATGAGAAAGATCACTGAACTGGAAATTAAGATTTGGAGTTCTAATTTCAGATCTGGCATCCTAAGCAAATCATTTTCCCTCTCTAATCCCACATTTTCTCATCTATGAAATGAAAAGATTAGACAGAATAATCACAGTGATCTCACTATACTCCAACATCTTATGATTCTTATGCTTATAATCTAATTCATTAATTTTTTCTCTTGTTTCATAATTATTTCAAAGGTTCTTAATAACATGAAAGAATTTGTATTCTTGTTTCAATATTTATTTTATGCTGATTAATTTTTAACATTTAAAAAATCTCTAGCAGAGATAACTGGGTTACTTGCACCATTAAAACTAACATTTATGTTGCTGTTCTTATATGTTCTTTTTTAGAGGCCATACTATATTGAATCTTAAGTGGGTTTTCAGATTTTTTTTATACCCTACTTTAACCTTTTCTTTCACGTAAATAGTTAAAAATTAGAATCACTAGTGGAGAGAGATATATCTGAATGTATTAAAATTATTTCTATAGGAAGGCTGAACTTAAACTTTAATATGGACTGAGTGAAACAAGAGCTCTATAGCTTCGTTCTAGTTCTTAATTTCCCTGATTCAAACATTCCATCATTGATAATGGTCTCCCAGACTTTCAGCATACCTGTAGAAGTTAACATCATCAAGTAAGTATTGTTGCCATAAAAGTGCCTGGGACGCAATTGTTGAATGAATAAATAGATGTTCTAATGAACACATAGAGGTTCTTTGGAAATATGGTATAATAGTAATGAAGGCTTCTTAAATTAATAGCATCCACTATACGTCTTAAAAGGTTTAAAGGCACAAGAATGCATATTTGATCACCATTTTTTCATATCTTATCACTCGAAATATTTCACAAGCATACCATTTGTTGTATTTACAGTTGAGAAAACCATTGAAGATATCACTCAAAGAGCCCACATGATGAAGATTATCAAGAATTATTACAACTGGAAGCTCTACACCGTTATTATCAGCACTGCATTGTTCAGCCAGGTTAGCTAGATATTGTTGCAATTCCTTTAAAAAAAAAGAAAACAAATATGTTAATGAGAAATTTATACCAATGGAAAGCAATTCATAGTTTAGGAATGATACATTTTGTCATCCATCCAGGTTCTTTGATTAAAACTCACAGATCATTCCATTGATATAAAACCTTACTCTACAAAGCAAAAGAAAATATACAATGTTGAGAGGATACACTTTTAAAGGAAAGAGAAAAGCCAGTACAGGACACCTGAAGTAAATATAAAGCTGTAAACACAAGGACATACTCCTCAGTTGTTTTCTCCCTGGAAGAAAAGTGAAAAAAAAAAAAAGAATTCTGGATATGAGCTCTTAGGATAAACCACAAATACTGAGATTCATTCTTATTTTTGGTATTACAATGATAAAGATGGATTTTAGCAAACCTTATAATTTCAAGTATAGACTAAATCCAAAATAGCACCCCTAAGTTTCCAATAAGACTTTAAATATTTTAATTCCAATTCATTTCGATGAGGTGCATCTGAAAATACAGCCCTGGGACTCAAATAAAACTGTGGTTGGTTGGTTGATTTGTTATTTATTTATTATCTGCTTGCAATTGTTGTAATTTATAACAACAGACAAAATGTGTTATATTTCATTGGGTCACTTGACATTAGCATTTAGCATTTATTAAGCTTCTTGGTTCTTTACAGATATTATTCCTTTCTAATAGCTTTTAATCTAAATATGATAACCAGTTCACTGATTGCTCTCACAGATGGGTAGGCCAGAAATATAATTAGATTTCTTAGAATTATCCTAATCAGTAAGAGCATTTCCACAATATTTGCATATTTACAATGACATTTTCCATTTGTACATCTTGAGCAGGGTTAAAAAACAATTTCATGATGGATCTTGAAAAATGAATAGAATTCCAAATGATAAGTATGTAGTTTTTTACTCTTTCAACACAGCTTTAGCAAGCGCCTACTATGTGCCAGGTACTCTGGCACCAAGGATTTAGAGATTACTTCTATATTCAGGCATTAGAGTTGATAGAAAGGCAGACCAACAAGTAAGTCTCAAGGCAGTGTGATAACTGAAATGCATAAAACACTATAGAAAAACTAAAGAGAGGCATCTAATCCAGATTTAAGGTTGATATAACAATAGGCTATGAGGGCAGGAGGTATAATTGAAGAATAAAGAGTAAAGCGTAAGAGGTGGAAGATACGAGTGTGTGATGTGTTGGGAGAAATATTGGTGTTCTGCTTTTGCAAGAGAAATGGTCCGTGGCAGTAGTGATCTCAATGAAAGGGGAAATCGAAAAGACTTTGAATCCATGCAGAGGAATTTGGATTTTACTATATAAACATGTGCACCATTCACATGTTGTTGTTTTCCCCAGGGTAGAGAAATTTATTTATCGAAGGAAACATACATGTGAAGGATAGGATGATTAATTAGAAATGGAAAACACATTCAAGATGCTTACTGCCCAGAATAGGTAGGCATGTATATAGATAACTAAAATTCACAGTGAAAACTAATACGTTACCTCAAAAGAATATACACTAAACATTTTGTTCAGAGCATGTAAAGATTACTTGTAGCTTCTGGAAAAGACTTTCTGGTGGCAGTATTATTTGCTATTAACCCTTTATTTTAGAAGTTTCATGTCCAAGATCTAATCAGGCAGAAAAAAACAGGTATTTCTACTAGATGGACATTGATAATGAGATGAATCCCATACTTTGAACATAGCAGCTATACACAGAACATAGCAGTTATACAAAAACTATTGATCATTGCTATCTCTGATTTTGACTCCAGACACACTCAAAATGAATCTGCCAAGTCCAGCTTTCTGATCTTTTCCCACCTAACATTCCAAGTGGCTTCAGTTGTGGCCACATATTCTTTACTAAATCCATCTCTAGCCTTCTAGGCCCACCATATCAAATGTCACAAAGTGTAATTGTTTATGTGTCCTGCTTTCAATCAAAATATTCCAGCTGGCAACTCGAGAGAGGGCTTGAAGAGTGGGAAGAGGAAAAGAATGTAAAATGCAGAGGGAACAAAAACATGAGAAGATTTTTTTCATTTGATGGTTTATTATTGGATTTTTTTGGAATCAGTGAGTGATTTGTGGCTTTGTCTCTTCAGAGCTATCGAGGGCATAGCAGAAAGCATGTCAGCAGTTACACAGTTCCATTTCTCAGGAAAAGAATTTATTTCGTACCTCATTCACCCTTTACTTAAGTAAATCTAACGTGGCAGCATCCTTCCTACAATCCCAACCTGTCATCCCCATTTCTCTACACCACTCTCACACACCATCAACCCCCCGAAAATAAAGTGTGGATTCTCCGACAATTTGGCAAGAATTGGCCAAATTCTCTGGCCATGACTTGGTATCCAACATTACTGACAGCTCACTCAAATCTTACAAACCTAAAGAAACAATAAGCATTTGTTAGTTGTAGTTTGTGCTTTCTTGGTGATGAATGCCATGTAATTTGTCCATGGATTCCTTCCTATTACTGTTTACTAGCATCATTTGTTCTGTTCAAAGGCTCTTGGCAAGCTTTATTTTTCATCAGTTTGTAATAACAAAGATTAAACTGACCTCATAATGGCACAAGTGATTTTATTCAGAAAAAGTAGAAAATAAGAGTGCTGGATATACTTGATCAAATTTTAAAGGACATATAAATTGTTATTGATTAAGAATATCTCCAAGTACTAAACATTTTTTTAATTGAAATAAAAAGAACTTATATATAACAGTATATTTTGGAGTGAGGCAAATTTTAGAACTAATGTTAAGTTACCCTACTTTATTTTAGCAGGTCGAATTATATCCAAGTCAATCTATCTGATTCAAAACTTGATTTTAAGTGATTCTCCAACTTTATCAAAATGCCTGTTTCCTCTAATAAATCTATTCTTCTCCTATCTTCCAACCACTTGTTTTTTTCATAACAGAAGTAACTTCTAAAGAGTTCTGTCATATCAACATTAAGCAAACACCAAAGAGAGCACTGAGAGTAATTAAGAGATGTCAATTCTTTCATCATTTTGGCTGAAAATGTGCTAAAAGCTTTTAAATAAAGCTATGAGGAGACCCAGAATTCATTGGAGGCATTAAAGGTGTAGTTTGAAGCAAACAACTGCGCTCTTCCTGCTTCTGCTTAAAGAAGAGTTCAGGGCTTCCCTGGTGGCGCAGTGGTTGAGAGTCCGCCTGCCGATGTAGGGGACACGGGTTCGTGCCCCGGTCCGGGAAGATCCCACATGCCGCGGAGCGGCTGGGCCCGTGAGCCATGGCCGCTGAGCCTGCGCGTCTGGAGCCTGTGCTCCACAACAGGAGAGGCCACAACAGTGAGAGGCCCGCGT